CTTATTCAAATTATGTCAGATTTCAATAATTAATCATTTATATGATGAATGTTATCAGACAGAATACTCCTGTTTGGCTATTGCTCTAGAAATTTAGAAGCTTTTGCAAATATCTTAGGTAACTATACAAGAATATTGTTTCACGTCTAGTTTATGTCAATGTTTGATCTAATCATAATGAGTGAAGTAGTTTAGGGTGTTGATCACTTTTCTTATCATAAGATTTGCATCAGATCGGTTTAAAAAAATTCTAGTAGACTGATTCTTTTTAAAATTTGTGTTGTTTATATTGTCTAGAAAAACAATAAAGTTTTTATAATTACACCATCCAGATCAAAGAGAATGACTTCACTATGAGGATGTTAATTAGGGCTAATTTGGAGGACAAAATTTTATATTAAACACTACGTTATTTCTACATGGTGTAATTAATTATCATCTAATGGGAATTGATTTTTTCTTGAGTTTTAATTGTTCCTTCCAGAATACTAAACCCTTGTACATTTAATTTTATATAGAACTTCAGTCAGATTTGAACATAAAAACACATTAGACGTGATAATGAATGATTATAACCTCGGTGTGTTTGTCAGAATTCAGTCTGATGAAGTTAAGTATTAACAGAGGTTAGGTAGATAAGTATTTTTCGCATTAATTTGCTTACGGCTATAAATTTAAAGCGATTCGGCTTGGATAGTAGATTCAGATTAGCAATCATATATCAAAGATAGTATTTGGTTATGAACTGGTGACTAATTTTTGCATTAAATTTTTTTTAGACCGTTTTAGAGATCAACCAAGTATTTGACAGCTTAAAAGTAGCATGTGTGACTGTAAACGTAATTTATGCTAGTTTTAACGCACCGGCGAAAATAAATTTCTTCAAAAGAAACATATATTGTAGGCACATCATCAGTTAGTTATTAAATGATTAATTCATACACACAGAGAATGTTTCGGTTGATAAGTTGACGACCAATGCATGAAGTTTAGAATACTATCAGTAAACTTATCCACTAATTACTAAGATCAGCAAACAACGAATGAATGTGAAGAATATAATTTCATTGTTTACAGTGGCTCACATTGAACAGAAATTGTTTCCAGTAGTACAAGCTTACAGAAAATTTATTTATTATTTACAATAATAAATAGCGTCATTACCTCTCATTGGTATACTCCTCATCATATTCTGAAATGCCAGCTTACTTACTTACTTACTTACGCCTGTTACCCCTTGTGGAGGAGCATAGGCCGCTCACCAGCATTCTCCATCCAACTTTGTCCTGAGCCTTCCTTTCCAGTTCTTTCCAGTTACTATTCAGCCTTTTCATATCGGCTTCTATTTCCCGGCGTAGTGTGTTCTTTGGCCTTCCTATTTTCCGCTTCCCTTCCGGATTCCAAGTTAGGGATTGAGTCGTGATGCACATTGGTGATTTCCTTAATGTATGTCCGATCCAATTCCAACGTCTTTTCCTAATTTCCTCTTCAGCTGGAACCTGCCGGTTTGTCCTCTCCCATAAAACGCTGTTGCTGATAGTATCCGGCCAGTGGATGTTGAGTATTTTGCGTAAACAATTGTTTAGAAATACTTATACCTTCCTGATGATAGCCGTAGTAGTTCTCCACGTTTCAGCTCCATACAGTATAACTGACTGTCTTGACGTTCGTATTAAAGATTCTCACCTTGAAATTGGTTGAGAGTTGTTTTGAGTTTCATATGTTCTTCAATTGTAGAAATGCTGCCCTTGCTTTGCCAATCCTCGCCTTTACATCTGCATCCGATCCTCCTTGATTATCAACGATGCTCCCCAGGTACTTGAATGTTTCCACTTCTTCCAGAGTTTCGCCATCAAGTGTGATTGTGTTGGTGTTCTCCGTGTTGCATTTGAGAATCTTGCTTTCTCCTTTGTGAATGTGGAGGTCTATCGAAGCGGAGGCTGCTGCTACATTTGCTGTCTTCATCTGCATTTGGTCGTGTGTATGATAGAGGAGGTCTAGGTCATCTGCAAAGTCCAAATCATCTAATTGATTCTGAGAAGTCTATTGTATTCCGTATTTCCCTTCAGATGTCGAATTCTTCATAATCCAGTTAATCACTAGAAGGAAGAGGAATGGGGAGAGTAGACAGCCTTGTCTGACTCCGGTCCTTACTGGAAATGCATCTGTCAGCTGTCCTCCATGCATGACTTTGCACTGAAGTCCATCGTATGAGTTTTGGATAATGTTGACAATCTTTTCAGGAACTCCATAGTGTCGAAGAAGTTTCCATAATGTTATCCTGTCCACGCTGTCAAACGCCTTCTCATAGTCAATAAAGTTGACGTATAGTGATGAGTTCCACTCAACTGATTGTTCAACGATGATCCGTAGTGTCGCAATCTGGTCTGTGCACGACCGATCCTTACGGAATCCAGCGTGATGATCCCTTAGTTCGGCGTCTACTGCCAGCGGTCCACTTAAAATCACAAGTCAAAATAGTTGAGATACGAATCAATAGAACCAGATTCTGCGCATAAGCTCTAGGTACGAGAATTTTGATAAGAACAAACAATAGTCTCAATACTCCGGCTTCGTTAAAAGAAAATTTTCTCACATTATTGTCTCTATAATCGTAAATAATCTTTATGGTGAGATAGCAGATTCGTTACCGAAAGAATACCTAAGTGATATTTATCAAAAAATTACTTGGGTTCAGATAAAACAGGTTTAATTAAAACGCACCCATATATACATTGTTTATTAAACAGATGTGGTTAACGTTTTATTCGTTTAAGTATTAAAACAGACCAGTTTGGTATCTCAATTATTTAAACAACAAACACGAATGAAAAGGTAGACGTCTCCGAGATAGTTATATAGTCACTTTCAATTAACCTTAATCTTCAGTTTTATGGCCTATCTTATAGACTGAACTTAAACAACCATTGAAAATTGAGAAGCACTAGACGTCTACTTCATCCTAGTAAAGGATTTCTCATCAGAAAGTATTCACGACCTCAATGGGAATCAAACCTATGGGTTTCAGGTCTTGCGATGAGCGCTTGATCTTTAAAAAAATTATCAGGTATCAAATAGTTTACATATCTATCTTCAGTCAATTATTGATAATATGCAACCATTTTTCAATGCCATCGATTGCTTTAGTTCAAGATATCCTCACAGTTTCTAATGGTACTGATCCTTTGGCTAAACAGTATAAAATAAAGAGATGGGTACTTAGATTAAAAGATTGCATCTAAAAATATTAGACAAGTCAAACATGGAAGTGAGCAAACAACTATGACTCCGAGAAATAATTACAGCAAGCATGTAAGGACTTTCTTTATATTATACTACTGAGATTACTCAACTTATCGATTTGTGAACATTTTATATTAAATCCGATATTTTCTGTTCATTTAAAAACAGCTGGCTTGGTGAATAAAAAATTGTCAACATTAGAAGTGCTACATAAATTGCACAATTTTCGTACTCTGAAATGGCAACATCACAAGACAAAAGGAAAAGGAACAATGAATGAGACATGTCGCTTATAATGCCTTTCAAAGATGGAGGAAATAACAAATCAAGCTTTCAACTCACGAACCTGATTGGTCGCTAAGATCTCAGTTTGAAAATGTAAAACCTAAGCGTTGAATAGCTTCAACAGTTATATGTCATTAACTAAAAAACACATTGGAAACGATTGACATAGAATGAAAGATATCTATATCAGGTCATGTTACAAAGGATATCAGCTATGTGAAATTAAATATTATATTGGTAACAGCTTGACATTTATATCGACAATACTATATTATAGCTGAAGCTAAGAAGTAGTAAGATATTTTAGCTTATTCATTGTAATTTTTGGAACGTAATAACAGAAAGCATACTCATCAATATTAAAAACAAATACAAAGCGTAATTACACTTCATTAAATGCTCCGAAATGAAAATGTACTTTGAATGTTTGAGGAAGAGTAACAGTATTATTACTGCTTTGGTTTGACGATTATGAATGAACTATGTAAATGATATATACACAGTAAACTACTAGTTATTGAATGTCAACTACTTCTTACTCTATACACTTAAATTTATCCACTAAATGAACATTTAAAATGGCATATTTAATTCACTATCATATTTGATGTCATATCAATCTGTGGTTGATAAATAAATTAGTCTTCATACATATTTTTGTATAACAGTCTCGTCTCGTAGAAGTCATACACTTAGAAGTATATAAACATTTTGTCAAAACACCACACATTTATTTCTGTAATCCCAAACGGAGATTTTAAACTTCGAAAAACTATGAGCTTCTTCTTACTGGTAAGTAACAACATGTATGAATTCTTTTGCAAATCAGCTTCTTAATTGATAATACTCAATATGTGAAAAGAAAGTTAATTATATGTCTTAAACTTCGATTTCTGATTTAACCGGTTTACACTGAAATCATTGTAACACGAAGATGGAAAGTTACTAGCAATGGGATCTAGGACACGAGTTTGGTCCTGTTTGAGACACATCATTTAGATTTCACTATTAGTCACTGTACATCCTTACTTAAAATACTTGTGATATGATATTAGTATCAAGGCAGTTCTCTCAAAATGCAAGTATGCCAAAAGACATTATTTAAAATTCAGTCCCTAATAGCAACAACACAAATAGATAATACTGTAAGACCTAGAAGTTTAGGAAACTTTGTGTCAAAGATAAACACACATAATTATCACCTCGTCGACCCAATATAATCTTCAGATTCAAAGACTATTAACGTTCAACGGTTCTAAGTCCCTTCGTCAAATAGCTACACATTCTTATTAGGAAAAACTGAAGAAAGAATTCAGTGATTTTACAGTCATAGGCTATTTCAACATAATTGATTCATATAAGCCAATGAAATCCAGTATAAATTTGAGCGTGAAGATGATTGGCTAAAAAGACTATTATTGACAATTCTGTCTTATGATTGGTTTTTAATACATGAAAGCAACATGATTTACAAAATAGACTAAGTTTTCATAAATTTTGTCAAGTGATTCTCCTTTGGTGACAGAAATGCAATTACAACCTCCAGCTTATGAAAGTCTTGCAGCTGTAGACAATATGACTGGTGATGATAATTCAAATGGTAATGTTGAACAAGGAATTATTCATCCAGTCAGACGACGACCATTCGGTAAATCTCTACGTAATCGATTGAATCATATTGTCAGTATGTATATACCTGGAAATAATCTTACAGAAAACCGACTAGTCGGTATTGACGAGACAACAGATCATACAGGATTATTATCTTCTAACGAAAGTAAATTAGGATTTCCTTCTACGAAAGATGATGAATTATATGATATAAAGTTAATTTATCCAGGTGATCAATTAATCAAAGGTGTTCTTCACTATGCTAGTCTACCAGATAAATTTTCGCTTAATGAATCTCCAAAAATCACATGTCTGGCTGCAGATCATAAAATAATTTATGTTGGCTTAGAAGATCTGCCATATATATTTTTAATTTCTGCTGAGTCACGTGACTGGAATGATCAAAATTATCATAAATTTGAAAGTAATCATTACAAGGGTTGTTTACATCTTCATTCTACTGGAGTTGGAAATATTCTACCTAAAGAATTATGCGCTCATACTACTAAAACCAATCATACATTCCTCTACATCGTTGGAACTATACAAACTGATAATATGAATGAAGAAAGGAAATGGATTTTGATAAAATTTGATTTGAATGGTCAACAAATTGCTCGTAGTCGTACATATTCATATCAACGTTATTCTGGTTTATCTGTGGACACTAATGACGATCATTTATTGCTTGCTTGTCCTTCAATCAATGAATCAAACGCATCGAATATTGATTCTCCAGGACAAATATGTAAGTTAACCCCAGGATTTGAACGTCGAGTTTTCTCTATTACAATGGGTAAAGAGTCTGTTTTCTATAAACCAAATTATGTAACACAAGAAACAGCCGGTCATTGTTGTTGGGCCTCTGTTGAACGTATCCATTATTCTACAGAAAATACAGAAAATATTCATCAACCTACAAGAAGACTTTTAGCATTTCCTGGACGTCAGCCTGTTGGTGGATTAAAACAAAGTGCACGTGAATGGTTACATGCTTATTCATGGGATTTCGCTGATTTGAGACCGGGTAGAATAGCTGCTTTCGATGCTGATCGTTTATTGGTGATTGATGCAGAGAATGGAACACTTTCTTATATTACCTGGGTAAATAATGAGGAGAAACCAAACATGTATCGTATTACCCGTCCATCATCAAAACCTATCCGTCTACTGTATTCAACGTACAATTCGAAATGTTTATCCAATGAATCGAATAAAAATATCGCCTATTTTGTAGCTGGTTCTAGTATATTCTCTTTCTCATTTTACCCCGATACTTCTGCCACAAAAACATTCAATGATAATAGTAATAATAAAAATGACAATACTAATGCTACTAATAATAATCACATGAGTAGTAGAGTCAGTCACGCATAAATCATCCATTTTTTTGTCGGTTACCATTTACTGCAAATTTCTTCCCCGTCGTCATATTTGCTAATTGAATTAATCATCAATTTATTTGTATAGTTTAAATGATAATATTAACAAAATCTTATGACAATGGACCCAATTGAAATTTATGCAGTTGTGAAAATATTAATGTGTGTTTTTATTGATCATTGCACTGAATTTCTATGTTCAACGACATCGTTTGTTTACGCAATTTATGGTGACCATCATTAAAACTTAATATAACCTGTTTGATTGTTATTACTTGATCATAAATGAATTTCTTATCATTTTCAATGTTAATCTCTTCCTTTAAATGGTTCAGTAATTCATTTTTATGAGGAGCACATTACTTTCATTTATTTTTCAACCTGTTGACTAGAGAAAAGCCATTGTCTTTTGAATTCCGCGTATCAAATATAACATGAAGTTACACGTAACTTATAGTAATTTGATTTAGTATCCGTCAAAAATATCAACCTTTCGAAAATAAACGAATATAAATATAGTGTCAAAGATTACCAAAGCTTTGGAGTTACATTTGTTATATTCTCTTTTAAACAAAGAAACATTGAACTTTGAATTCCATGAAATTTATCAAAAGGAATTTGTTTTAAATCATCTCTCTTTTTTTAATTATGAGACTGAAACAAAAACAAATTGCCTAATATTGGTAATAATAATAATAATAATACTAGGAAGAAAAGTGTACAAATGATGAAGCTAATAATTGGACATTGAGAGAAAGGATTATCTACTACAATTGTCCCAATTCTTGTTAATGTCATTTATACTTCTTTTCTTAAAAGAAAACAACATTCTTTTCATTATTATCGTGTTTGTTTTCTTATTACACATTTTGTATTCGTTATTTATATTGTTTTCCTAAATAGTATCTACTTTGATGATGTTTGGAAATCGAATGTAATATTTATATAAATGCACAAATGTTTAGTTTCACGTGTGTATGAGTATAAAGTGAAGGTTTGTTTGGATATACTTATTGATATTTCTATTATCGATGAATACTGGTTGTATTTATTTTAGTTGGATTAAGTGAAATTCGATCACTCAATTACTATGTCTTAGTAATTAGCACTGGAGTTCTTAGTGTGAAAAAGAGAGTTAGCTCATTTCACTTTACAATTCGAAGAGTTGTCTGTAAGAGTATGTGATCACGTTTGAATCTGAATTACTGTCAATCGTAACTAGAAAATTAATTCATTCGCTGATGCTTGAAGACTTTTTTTATATTGGTTGTTAGAAACTTCTTATTAGCATTGAGGATAGCAACTGATCTGCCTCTTCCCTGTAGATCTTCATCCTGTGTGAATTACCACAATATTACCATCAAGTCAAAATCATTTTGAACAGAGTTGGATGATGAATAACAGTGAAATTCAGGATGTGAATTTCATCTTGTTTGAGACTCGTCCATTAGACATACCTGTATCCGAGTTGATGTTCACTGTAAGACTCGAACCCAATAGCACTCGCTTCAAACACCATCTCATTATCCCTTCATCTACTGAGTTCAGATATTCATTGACTTGTTCAATGGTGTGAATTGCATTTCATTTGTGTCAATTGTTTGAATGCGTGTTTCTGTACAATTTTCCAACACATGGGTCAGTAACTAGAGTTGTTGAGATCTTTCTGCTACATAGATGTTCATTGTGGGATAAGGAACACAAATATACTAAACGTTACAGTTTAAAATTAAATGTTTCATGGGAGTAACATTTTGATAAGGCAACAATCACCCACTTGACGAACGGAGGAATGATGGGAAGTGTGGGATCCGACAAATTGATTGAAATTTATGTATAGTATTATCCTTAGTCACATAGTCGTTCTCCGAGTAATGAGTATTGACCTGTTTAGTTCAATAAACTAATTTTCTACATATGACAAGTTTATACATGTTTGTCCTATTGATTATACAAAATCTAAATGTCTACTCAACATGACTCATTTTCACTATCGTGTGTTCTTCGCATTATAAACTTTGTGTTGAACTAATTAAACAACATTTCCTGTTCTTATTTCCACAATCTAGGATGTAGATCCCAATGAATTTATTTTTGGTGAAATTTTCCCTGAAACTACAAATTTATCAGATGGTAATTATTTTGAAGGTTTTGATTTTGTAGTTTTACATCATGGACTGAATTTAGTTGGGGAACTGTTGAAAACAAGTTATGAATGGGCAGATTCTTCATACTGCTACAGCCTCCTCAAGAATGAGAATCCAAGATCTTAACTGTGAGTGAACTCAGCATCTCCAGGTCTTATAACAAGCGATTTATTTTCAGACGATCGTGTTGGTATTCAATTATTTACATTACCTGATTCATTTCACTTTGTCCTCTTTGATGTTATTATTGATGCCTGGGTTTTGTCACTCAGTAAGGCCATTGATGTTCAATTTTCATTTTGTGGTAATGTGCATTGTAGCAACTTATGTTTTTGTTATATCTTATGTTATGTATAACTAAATAAGATTTTCCTCCATCACTGTACACTGAAATTCAGATTAAGATTTGACGTCATGTATATTTAACGTTTCAAATATTCCCACTGTTTATCCACTAACAGTTTGTCAACTAAAAACGTAATGGATGTCAATCTTGCTTACGTTAACACAGGTATTATGTTCTGTTACCTTACCGATATCCGTCTTCCAATCGAAGGACGAGTTTACTGCTCACCAGTTCGTCTCGTCCTACTTCATGGTCGTGAAACATGGCTCTTGAAAATAGAGGATATTCGTTAGTTACTGGAGTTCGATCATAGATGCCTTGGAAGCATTACTCATTTATGTTGGGTCAATCGAGTTGTCAGTGCTAAATTGGACGCAGAGTACTAGGTAAATATGGGAAATCGATTGACGAAGTAGTCAATCCTTATCGACTCAGATGTTTGGGATATGTATTACATTATCACCATTCGCCCATTCAGGTGATGATGAATAGTGTAATATTAGGTTGGCAGAATGCTATGGATAGCCAAACCAAAGAGTGTGATTAGTCCATGTAGTCACTGACTGTTAAAATTATCCGTATAGGTAGGTGCAGACCACCTGGTTGGGTTCTGCTTGATTATCGTAAACAATAGCTAGAGACTGTGGATGACATAACTGAAAGTCGTTAACAATGGTGCAGGAGCATTAACTCTTCGTTTTCTCTTACATTTAAAGTTTCTAAATTTCTCATAAATTGTTTCGTCACATTTTCTTCTGGAATTGCATTTTGGATGCTTAATGTGTCACATAACCATTAATAATGTTCCTACATCTACTAATTCGTGAGTTCCTTTGATTATTTCATCTCTACTTGAAAACATTCACAGATGTGTTGGGTTCTACTTCACTTTGACTGATTGATGTACTGAACAGTTGTATTGATACATCTTTAATTCCATCACTGAATGAAGTGATCATTCTAATTAGTGATTGATGGATTGATGAATTGATAAACCTTTCTTTCTAATTTAGGATCTAATACTAATTAATATATAAGCTTTGTGTAATTATGAATCAATAATTTTGTGTGTGTGTGTGTGGTTTTTCTAATGTTCATATATGTCACCTGTTAATTGACCTTTATGTGTATTGTATTATTTACAAAACTTGACCTTGAATGATGAATGATGAATGATCTTAAAATAGACTACATTGAATGAATGAAGGGGATTGTTATTAACAATGTTATCATTTTAACTGAATTGATTGATCAAATTAATGTAATTTACTGTATACTCATTTAAATATATCTGCCCAAGTTTGTTAGTCTCAATTCGGTCTCACGTATTTCTAGCCTCAAAGTTTGATGAGTTAGCCTGTCGTATCAAGGCTTTAACTTATGTCGAGACAGGTTCTCCCACATATTTTCGGGCAGACATATCAAGGAGGTAATAGTTTCTTCATTTCGATTAATTTCATTGAATACCCAGTGTCACGAAATTTTTCTATTAGAACTCCAAGAAATAAATATCAAAACAATTGACAACATTATTTTGGATAACTGCTTTACATGGTGATTTATATGATAAATTTCAGAACACTAAACAAGTGTTTTACACTCTTTTAGCGTAGTTCCATAGTGCACACTTACTTACTACTTACTTACACCTGTTACTCCCATGGAGCATAGGCCGCTGACCAGCATTCTCCAACCTATTCTGTCGTGGGCCTTTCTTTCTAGTTCTATCCAGTTTTTGTTCATTCTTTTCGTGTCTGTCTCTATATCTCGGCGTAATGTGTTCTTTGGTCTTCCTCTTCTCCATTGACCTACAGGATTCCATGTGAGGGCTTTTATAGTACACACTTATTCGGTCTTATTATGAAATCGAAATCAGTGATTTCTCAAATTTCAGGGACAAAATTCGTTATCATTCATTTGCTCATTAAGAACTTATTTGGGCAGGATTATTGTCATGAGATTGAACATTTAATTTTCAACTGTTTAACATCACAGTGATTACACACACATACACACACACACTACTTTCACACCAAAATAATCATATGATCAATTAAAATAAATGAAAACTTGACAAATTGTGTAAAGTGTATTTAAAATCTATCGTAGGCAGATCGAATATTGAAATTCAATCTTTTTATTCATGTGAGTTAACAAGACCCATACATGTTGTATTGATTATCTAACACAAAAATCACAATAATAAACGATCATAATTTATGATGAGGATCACATGAAAAAGTAAGGTTGAACTGAAGTTACTTAATTAGTTTTTAGACGTTTTATAGTTAATCTAGGAGAAACGCGACCTCTTACGAAGAATAACTATTATATACAGTTTACAAATTACAAACCAAGGGGAAACATTTATTGATTTCTCTTTCATTTTCAGTGATTATCCAAATGACCCTTATATAGTTGTGATGAAAATCCCCATACTAATCGAATTCATCTTCATAAAACTATTTAAGTATATAAAAGCTACCAGCCATTTCTTTCTCCGACCTGGGAGCATAACCGAATAGTCCAACTGTGGTCGGCTGCTTAAGGCCAGTCACACAGCCATTTTGTGAGTAGTTCTTGATATGTCAACTGCATAATCTTCAAACTTTATCGCTGGTAATGGGAATTTTCGGGGGCTTATAAAGTGGGTCATTTCAAAGGATAACCTTTTCCAACCCTGGTTTTCCATTGTGAAAAGATAGCATCTGTAGGTTCTGTTGTCTAGGGGCAGTACCTCAATGCCATAACACCTCTTACCAGTCAACAGTTTAACTTAAACCTGGAATCTTGAGTTCGCCACTTTTAATCTCAACACTCCACAACCAACCTGTCTAACGTAATAGGACCTAAATGAATGAGCATTCCAACCAACTGATCTTATTCGGATTATCATGATATAAAAATCTGACCACTAGGTTAAGGTAACAGTTGTGACTGGTATAAGGGAATGAGTATTTTTTCATTTATTAGTGATGAACATAATATTTTGTACTAAATTTTCACAATAAATTTGATTTTCAACATAAATGAGGAAATCAACGTATATTAATCATTAATAAACACTCCACATGAAGAAGTAATTTATCTGAATTCATCATTTATTGTTCCGATTAAAATAATTAATATATTGACCTAATTATATGATTATGATCTATTTGTTAGACGGAAGTCTATGAAGCATTATATAATTAATTCCATAATAATAATAATAATAATAATAATAATAATAATAATAATAATAAGCAGAGATGGATAGTGGCTAGCAGTGGAATCCAGGACGCGCGTTTCGTCCTATTTGGGACTCGTCAGCTGGATGTACCTGCATCTCAGAGTTGATGCTTACCATGCTTGTGAATTAAGGTATATCGAGGCAATACGCACAGTATGCACATATGCCAATTAGAGACTGACCAGTTGCAGTCCTAAACACATCGATGGGAAGATCCAAACAAACAATACTAAGTGAATTCAAACTTCACCCCATCGCACAAGCAAGTGGCTATCAGGACTCAGTGGCCGAGTGGATAACGCGATGACGTTTGAAGCGAGGGTACTGG